TGAGTACTTTTAACGCATAATTTTTTCGTTTACTAAAAAAATGTAACCAACCGTATGCCATAAATGAAAACATACTTTTTTAGTGTATAACAATGAAATTCGTTGTAAATAATGAAAAAAAGAATCTATGAGGTACATTCGAATTCTTCTAACGCACAATTTTTTCTTTTACTGAAATAAAGTAACTAACCATATCAAATGAATAAAAACAGACTCATTTCGTTTATGACAATTCCATTTGTTATAAAAACTGGAAACGGGTTCTATTCAAATTGTTTTTTTTTTTTCCACTGGGAAGTTGGTCGTGTGGACCTTTCGGGTCGCACCCAGACCACTGCAGAGCATTGATATTTTATCATTTTTAGTGATGAATCACTTATCTAATTTGCTAAGAAATCATTAAGTAGACTCTAAGATACTCCAAAAAGTGCAATTAAAGCCTACAAAAGCCAAGGCCATCGTTTCAAAAGTTATCGGAGACTCACAAGAATGGTTTTGTGTAGGAAACTTAAACGTACAAAATGCAGCATTCTAATAGACGAATCTACAGACGTGTCTGCTGCGAAGATATGATGTATTGTAGTCAGGTAATTTTTTTCTATTTTTTAATCAGTAATTTGTTTTTGCTTTCGAGTCTTCAATTGAAATATATTCGTTAAAGTAGATTTTATGATGCTGACGAAGGTCACATGAAGAGCAGATTTTGGAAACTCCATCAAATGTTCCAAGAAGACATGAATATTGAAACAACTTTATCAAAAAAAAAATTGTTCTGAAGCCACTGGCTCAGTCATCAAACAATTACTGTTGAATCAGCTATAGCTGAACATATCTTTGATTCTGTTAAAAATTCTTTTGATAAATTTGACATAAGTTTTTCGAATGTTATCCTTTTGCTTCTGATGAGTGTAATACAATGATGAGTGCTCACGATTCGGTGGCAACTAGATTTCATGGAATTTGTCGAGGAATAACAATCATAAAATGTATTAGGAGACACGTTTACTTCAGTAGTGTCTCGCGCACCAAGTTTAAACGGCGGCGACGAAGGCACTACCATGTCTTCATTATGCTTGAATCACAGTCTGCTGAGGTTATGCACTTTAAAATTGCAATATCTTTATAATAATGACTTATACATGCCAGAAAAACTTCGGAGCACCTCATTAATTTACTTCAGAAATAGATTAGAGATGCTATTGTCTTTCGGTATTAATTATTCTAAATAATTAATAATTGGCCCCTATACACAAGATTTAAAAAAAAACAGAATTATTTTTCTCAAATATGCAATTTTTTTAGGAAGTTGGTACTATTGTGGGGTTGCTATAGTGTAGTAAAAAATTAAGTTGGGTAACAAAATATACAGAGGCGCAAATAACTGAGGCGCTAATTATGAAATAACTTAAATATCATGATGTTATTCTACTTACAATGATAAATAATAGTATAACGTTATAGATATCAATTAATTAATAATAAATAAAGATGAAATTATGATCGAGATAATGATATAAGGGGAATTAATGATCAATCATTTGGTAACATGAATGAAAATAACATCAGTCTTCGGTTATTTCTGTATAATCGATGACTTATAGACGAATGCTCATATCTTGAGAACGGTAAGAGATAGAGCAAAAATAATAAAATGTTGGGGCAGTTTTTAACCAAGATATATCATATTTTTTCTACAAAATAATCATGAAAATCATTCAACAAAGCAAGCAGATAAATTTACTTTTCGCCCATCCAACTATTGCCTCTCGTCAGTCTAACGCGCTCTCGTGGCTTACGTTCACAGTGCCGAGTAACACGCTACTCTATACTGAAAAGTTTTTTTGGGACGTCACGACGCAATGTTTAATTGTGAATATCTCGATAACTAATCAAAATTACGGAATAATTTTTGATATACAATTAATAATGACTGTTAGCTTTCATTTAAATCCGAAATCCGTTTTATTCAGTGAGTACTTATCGAGATTCAGTATAGGCCACGCACCTAATTTCGTTTTCCGCACATTTAAATTCGATTCCCAGCTTTTTTTTGTCGGTTCTATCTAAATGCCATTTGACGCAAACCTCTCTTCCGTGGCCAAGATTTTTCTACAATATCTATCGGCATACTCCTAAAGTGTGAATTAAGCGAATAAATGATTTATATCTTTCGTACGTTAATAGCCATAAAAAATAGAAATAATATAATTTACTTATGGATTATTCTTAAATATAAATTACGTAGAACATAAGTTGATCAAATTGTTAAATATGAATAATGATGTTTATTTAAGAATTTGTTGTAAACATTAAATAACACAATATACGCGGTAAATTCGAATTTGTTTGACGGGACATTTTCTCTTTCATTTATAAAACGTTACTAGTCATGTAGAATAAATGTAATTTAACATGTTCTCCATAACGTTTGTATCTGTTCTAAATGAGCATAAATTGAATCTTATATTAGAATTCGAATTTTTACGGTTTTTCATTAATATACACAATTTTTTTTTATTTATAGTTTTCTATTTCATCATAAAGTATTACGTATCTGGAATCAGGTCATTCAAATGACGAAATTGTTATTCAAAACTTTACTCAATCAATCGATTCTTATGCAACGTAATTATGTCACATTAATTATTTACAATTGTTGAGAAAATCTCAACTTTGTGAATTAACCTACCCGTTTAAGGATAAGGATGATTGTGCCGGAACAGAGCAAACGGAAGTCAGATTCTATAAAAAATAAAGTATCTTTATTTGAAGTACTAACAGGTACACTAAGTATACTGACAAACTTGAGTTGTTAACTAGGAAGACTGAATGTCGCTCAAAATCACTGAATGTCTATTTTTAATTCTTGAATCTGAATTGAATGTCCAAAAAACTACTCAACTTGGTGTGTTCGGTATTATTGACCTCCCACACGAGCTCAGCACGCTTCTCAAGTTGAGCAAGAATGTGATTGTGCACGTGGCGTTAGCCTATCAATGCAATGCAAATGAATCTTGATGAACTGTCTTGAATTACACTGAAAAATCTTAAAATATTTCTTGATTCTAGTTTTAGCATGAAGCTTGAATGGCTCTGATGATTTTCAATAGCACTAGTACTGATGATTGACTCAAACTTGTAAGATTTGTTAAGAATGAATAAGAATAGCGTGTACACGTGAACGAGAACAGTGAAAGAATGGCGACAGGAACTTCATTAGTCAACAGGGACACTGAAAATTAGTCAAATGATTGACTAAATTAACAATTATTGATTGTTTGGTCGATGGGTTATCGACCCAGTCCCAAGATGGCCGCCGAAGTTTCTGTCAGCTGGCAAATTCAAACTGAGAATTAATTAATTCTCATTAACAATGAACAAGAGATTCTTCCAATTGGCTGAAAAAATAAATGGTTTCTAATTTTCGTCGATTAATTCTTTCAGATTATTACTGTTAATAATGTTACTCGTCGAACAGCATTTACGCGAACGAAGTCGCGAGAATAATCCAGTATCCAGCAGTTTTGGTAGGATACATCATACACTGGAAAAAAATTCTGAATAAGATTTATCCTAGCTAATTTTTACAATTATTTTGATCATACATTCGAACTTCAATTTCTCACAGAGCAATTTAAAAATATCGGACTTTCAAGCAATAGTGACGTGACGCCCTTTTTTTTACAGATATCGCAACCAATAACATCAAATCAATTAATTTTTAAGTACGGTTCGATAAAATTATGATCACTTCTAAACAACTTATTAAATGTTTTTTTTTCTAACTTTTATATAAATAATTTGAAAGGATTTTTCTATAATCAAACACATGCATATGCATTCATATTAGGAATGTGATGAATGAATATCAACATTTCGAATGTGTTGATAGATTTACGGTAGTCATATTGTTTTATATCATCATAAGTACTTTTACTTATCCATATTGACTTGAATAATCTCTTTCTTACTCTGGCACAGAGTCCTTTATCTCTAGCGTTTTCTGAGCATTTATCTGATGACAGGCTGCTTTCTCTTGATTGCTCCTCACTGTTGACTTCTATTTCATCTTCTGTAAGGCAATTACAGAGATGTAAGGCCACGATTATCAACCAATTTGTGCAATGTATTGAATGTAAGTGCTTATATCATTCTAGTTGTACTAGAGGTACATCTATTCTTTTTACTGTTGGATTTTTCCCTAACTGGGACCCTGAACAACTACTTAAATCTCCTATAACTCCAGACGCTCTAACTGCTAGTACTACCGCAAATGACGTTGTTCCTGTTGACCTAATTACGAAGTTGTCTGAGAAAGGGTTCACCAATTTAAGGCAAAATATTTGTTCTGGGAATAAAAAGCTCTCTAATAAGCTTTCTACTAAGATTTTTAAGGTCAAAGTTTCTGTCGACACATTGATTCTTCAGATTGATACTGTCTTATCTAGAGTAGATGACAACTCCAAGAAATTGCGGCTCATCAATTGAAAATGACTTATGCAAAAGAGGATATCAAGGTCAATAAAAATAGCCTCTTAAGCTGCCCTTCACTAAAGAGTAGGTTTCGATCTCTATTACACATTGTGTAACTTTATTTTAGTGAAAAAAATTTACGCGTTACAAGAACTTAAATATGTTGCATAGACCCCTTTTTAATAGTTTATAAAGAATTTAATCGTTGGAAACAATTTATATAAAGATAAAGTAGCCTGTGACCTTCCTGACGACGTCTTCTACGTGTGTGCAAAATTTAGTCGCACTCGGATAAGCCGTTTCGGAGATAAGCGTGGACAGATAGACAGACACCAGGAATTTATATAGTAGTATAGATAAATGAACATATAAATATCAAAGAGTCGATGGTATCTTTTTTTCGTTAACATGTTGTCCAAAGATAAATTTTTGCAATGTTTTGGAAATGGAAATTATTATAATATTAATAAATTTCAAATGTATAATTTGATGCTTGGATCTTGAAAAATGATATTCATTTAATTCAGGTGCTGTCAGACCAGCTTGTCATATTCAATCGTTGCATTGTTCATCACAACCATGTATGCATGGAGGAACATGTATCGACGGATGGAATAGATTTTACTGTGATTGTACTGCAACTTCCTATATCGGACCGATCTGCGGCAAAGGTAAGTTATTTCCAGTGTACGGCATTTAATTAAGAACTATTGTTTATTTACCTATAGGGAGATTGTTACAATGTAAGTAAACAAAAATTCATGAATAAAATTAAAAGCGATGAGGAAAGAGTCCCAGAGTTGGGAAAAAACAAATGATGAATGAGTTACGACAGGATGTGGTCTGAATGTACATGAAAGCGTTTGAATTGGAGTAATGAGCTGTTCTATCATACCTCGGCTGTCCCCAGAACAATTTCTTTTTTCTAGCCAAATATAATCGCGTAAAAGCTACCTTTCTTGTGACATTGAGATACGTTTTTAAATTCAAAAAGTACATTGAGATGCGCTGACGTTGCACACTGATAAGAACGCTTCATCGTTAGTTGAAAAATTTTTCGACTGATTGAAAAAAAAAATTATTTAATTAATAATCGTAATAAACTGAAATTATAATAAATGATAAGAAAAATTTTCTACGTGTTGCATATCGATTCTTGTGGATTATTTTCTGAATCATATATGTAAAAATGTTCTAAATAATTGAATAAGCAAATAATTGACTGTCCAATTTTTTTTCAGAAAAAAAGTTTGTATGAATATTGCGAAATGTGTCCTGTGAGTTGCCTATCGATCCTTATAAATGATTTTCCGTTTCTATTTTCGGGATAATAGTTAATGATTAGACAATTCTACACATTAGTCAATCGTAATTAAATGCTTATATGATGTCATACTACATTTAGAAGACATCAAAGAGATCACTTCTTTCCAGTCTGCACCTAGTGTAATAGCTGGAATGGAGTAAGAGGTTGTTGCATTAGGTTTGGATAATTATTAATAAAATAGAATTGATAAAAATATTCATTGAATTAACAAGTAGAGTTGAAAGCTGATGATAAATTTGTTGAGTTAATAATTGAATTATATTTTTAAAATCATACGAATAATAATTTTTAAAAGTAAGATAGCATATTTTTCAGAATATTAAATAAAATAAATACTAAGACACATTTTTAATATCAAAATACAAATTATAATTTAAATTCGAACTGTAATTTTATTTATGTTCACGATTATTATTCAAAAAACTTTAATTGTTAACAACTTTATATGGTTTAATATTGTGATCGTCAAAACTAAACTGTCACTTGAAGAAAATTTTCAGTTGTTGCTAGCAGGTAGCAACAAAATTGGTTAAAATGAAATCAATTATAATTTTTTTTTATCTTCTTTCTGTTTGTAATTGAACATTTTTGCGAACAATGCTTCTGACACCGATTTACATTTCTTGCATACTAAATTACATGTAAAGCATTATTAAACGTGTTATGTCCGACATTTTTCTGTCTCAGTTCATCGAATTATTTATTTTAACAATATTTAATTTTGTCCTAATATCTCATTGAGACATTAATGTGGAAACTAGGTAGTTTTCCGTTTCTGTCCTAAATTTCCTCAATTTCTAGGCCAATTCACTACTATAAAACCGTCGTTAACCATAACTCTTCGGTTAATTAGCTAACAAGACGGTGATATGCAGGCTTGATTGCCCCGCGCTCGCTGACCACCACGCGTTAGTTAGTTAAAAATTTTACAAAGATTTTCTTCAGTTTTTTCAACGAAGTATTTATTAACTCAAACCTCTAGGACCTGCTTAAGATCTGATATAGAATCTTCTCAGTTTATATGCGTACTGAGACGCCTTCCAAAAAGACTCAAAACACAATATAACAACAAATCTCTTCTTGAGGTTTATTTTTGTTATCAATTATAATTTATATCAACTTGTAATTCGTGTTTGAAAAAAGTGAAGTGAACGAGAAGAGTATTCAGTGCGTCAACGTCTTCTTGAGGAAGCACTTCTATCTACCCTTATCCAAGCTTACTTCGTGTCAAGCCAACATTATCAGTCAACTCTTCGATCCTTAAGTGAAATTGCTGATCAAATCTATTCCATTAACTGAGGTGAGGGTTCTCGTAAGATGGAACTTCATTGCGATAATTCTTTAAAATAATAAATTCTTTTAAAATTAAATATTAAAAGAGAAAAAAGCCCTGTTAGTTCAAGATACCTTGTTTAGCATTTTGGCCGCTACCAATTTTTTTCTAATTATAATGTTTTTCATTTGGATTGTTAACAATGATATGATAATGTTTTTACATCTTATAATTACTTTACTCCACGATGGGAATGTTCAAGAAATAATCAGCGCACAAATTCTTCTCAGTCCAGCAATCTCAAGTTGTTACAAATACTCGAAATATCTTCTCCTTCAATGTAACACAAAAGTAATTTTGTAGATCTTCAAACACTTTTGGTAAATCCTTAATATTTAAAAATTTCACTGATTGCACTCAAACTTCATCACATTCCCCATTATTATAACAAACAGACATTTATTGATAAACTTTAAAAAAAAACAAATATTCAAGTAACAATATGACCTTCATCAAAAATAGAAATAAATGTCAAGAATTGAATACTTGAAAATTGTCAACTGAACTTCAGTCAATCGTTCGATTTAACGAATCATTAAAATATTCTTAAATGAAATTTTACCAGTCAAATTGAGTTTTCAGACATGAACGGGGAGCAAAAGAGAGTTAACCATATACTAAAAAATACCTGTCATTTGAAACTTCCCTTCATAACGCGCAGATCGAACATTATTATATCCGAAGATATTTATTATTAATTAATTGAGAGAATTAAGGTTCTTTATCCCCTCTCGATTTACCTGTTCCTTTCAAGGGACGAAATAGATGGATGTAAGGAATAAGGTTGAAGGTTATTGAGGTTAAAAAGAGGGTTTGGCCAGTGCGATACTGATGACTGAATTTTGGATTACTTCCTGAGTTTTTTATCTACTGGTAATCAATAATTAAGTATTACAAGAGCTTAAGTTATTATACATAATGCATGAGTAAAGACATGAAATTCAAGTCAAATTTCCACTGACATAGAATAAATGACTGCATAAGAATTTATGTAAACTAAAGCAGCACCTCAATATGTAGGACTAGTGTGTTATGATATATGATATAGTATAGAATTACAATTTGCGCATTATTTGAGTTGATAATAGTATTCTTGCATAAACCATAATGAATTTAACATTCAATGAAAACTAAAAAGTAATATGGAATGCCAGTAAGAATATAAATGTTGGTAATAATTTACGATTCACGGATAATCGAAGATTTGTGAAAGAGAAAATGTGTTGAGAAGGTACTGAAGTGATTCTTCTTACTAGTAAGAGTCAAAAGATAAGTTAACGTGGCAAATTAAAGCTTCAGCATTGGAAATAGGAAAACTGGGGGTATGGGAATGCGATGTGTCCAGAAGATATGGACAAGTCAGTTTAAGGGAAATGTTGCACTGCTGAAAAACAGTAGTTAGATGAATATTGAGAATGAAGCATTAGAATCAGCTTGTTTTTAGATGAGTTTTTCTCATCAACAGTTGATAAAATGCAAACATCACGCTCTTTCTCAAAGGTCAGATGTTCATGTGGCAATGACTCGACTGAATGTTTCGGTGTTTTTATATTACTGGTGAATACGAATCTCTCCTTTTTCTGGTTGATAGATGTTGACTGAATTCAACGTTGAATATTGTTCTTGATAATTCTCTTCCCCGTTGATGGTGGGATAGAAGTTGATGTTAAACCAGTAGTGGGTTGAAGAGACCAGGTAAAGGGTCTAAGAATAATGTACCCTCTGAATCTACATCTTTTGCAGAGTGATGTTGTTATTGCACTTCAAGAAGTACCCGTAGATAGTGCATGGGCTAGTTTGGATGTTGTTGTGACTTCCATCCATCCTTTTGTCTTCTATTTTTCTCTTTTTTGCATTTTCTCGTAGGTCTTGAACATACGTTAATAGGGGATATAAGATTAGTAGGACATAGCAAGGTTAAGAAATAAGGAGAAGGAGAAAAAATTAAGCTATCATGTTACTATTAGGTAGAATTGATTGTCTATGAGTGTTTAGACTTCTCTTTCACAATTCTAGGCTTTCCTGTTTTCATTTTTATGGAAATATTGATAATCATGTTAATGTTTATATTGAATATTAATGTATGGAGTGGAGTTGTAGCTGAGTTTTACTAATTTTCCAGTAAATTTTGTTAAAACTAAAAATGTGACTAAAACAGAAGAATTTGCATTTACGTACGCTTAGTGTTGTTATTTGATTAGGTATTTCCTCTTCCGTAATTTTTGTTAAAGTCGAGAATAAATGGTCAAAGTCACGATGTTTAGTTTTGAGTTAACTTTCAAAGTGATCACGAGAAAGAGCTCTGTGTGGTGCATCATCTAGATATCAACTTCTTCAGAGGTTACGGAAGTTTTTTGGATGATCCCCTTTTTTGGTTCTCTTGGTGAAGAAGATATTTATTCCCTTCTCTGGTGCTCAAGATTTTATTCGAGTATGCTGGCTGTTGGAAGATCTCCTGATGGGACCCGTGTGAGTTCGTCGAGCTATGTCTATCTTGGAACTGGTACGGCAGATCTGCGGAGACGTGCTTGAAGACCTGTACGGCATCCACGATATGTTGGCCTTGGAAAGCCACTTGGATCTTGCTGGGTTTCGGCGGATACAGTTTCAGGATGAGCCGGCTCATTGGCTCCAAGAGTTTTCCCAGGACAACATTGAATGCTACTCAGAGTTTCCAGAGTAAGTTTTAGAGTTTGTTAATCTGACACACAGTCATCGATGATTATCAATTTGTTTTTTCTATTTATCTCTTTCTTTTTTGTGTTTTAGGCGACATAACGGCATCTGGGTGTACGAACAGAAGAGGCAATGATGACTCTTGACGATTGCTCGATAGAGTTAAGAATTTAGTGAATTATTATTTCTGTATAATTTAAATGAGGAAGACAAGAACAAATTGGTATAACTAGAAAATATGATATGGCCTAGTATGAAGGATGTGTGATGTCAGAAGATGTACTCTGGATAACTTGTTTCGATTTTAAAAAGCCAAACTAGTGACAAATCTCTGC